TCATGTTTACTGCTATGCTCTGCAGGCCACCTGTAGCAATACATGTGCTGGGAAGGGAGATGTTTTTTGAGCTCTGATCATCTTTTGCACCATTAGGATTTAAACGTACATTTAGGGGCCCTGCTAGCAAGGGAAATGTCCCAAGCCAACGATTTCCTTACAGCTTTTCTTGAAGTGTGTCACACCTGAATCCTTTCTTGACCTTCCTCCATCTCAAGTCAGAAAAGAAAAAAAAAGGGAATTTTCGTGCAAATCTACTCCCATTGTGAGAGCTACAATGTGAATTGGTAATGCAGTGCCAAACTGAATGCCTAGCCCTTCCTTGTTGCTCATATGTTACAATGCATAACTACTGTCAGTTCACTCAGAGCACCCCAGGACTTCCTGAATGTCAAAGAGCAAAGGGTTCAAAAGATGGAGGGTAGCAGATGACAGCACGCTGGGAGGAAGAGTTGATGTGCTCGAGAGTAGGAAGGCTCTGCGGAGGCACCTGGACAGCTTGGAGAGATTGGTGGAGACCAACTCTATGAGGTTCAATAAGGCCAAGTGCCAGGTCCTGCATTTGGGTCACCACAACCCCATGCAGCACTACAGGCTTGGGGTGGAGGGGCTGGAGACTTGCGTGGCCAAAGAGGATGAGGGGATGTTGGTTGTGAGATGGCTGAACGTGAGCCAGCAGTGTGCCCAGGGGGCCAAGAAGACCAATAGCATCCTGGTTTATATCAGGAACAGCATAGGTGGCAGAACGAGGGAAGTGATCACCCCCCTATACTCAACGCTAGTGAGGTGGCACCTTAAATAATGTGTTCAGTTTTGGGCTTCTCACTACAAGAAGGACATTGAGGTTCTGGAGTGGGTCCAAAGGAGGGCAACGAAGCTGGTGAAGGGCCTGGAGCACCAACCTCAATAGGACTGACTGAGGGAGCTGGGGTCATTTATTCTGGAGAAGAGGAGGCTCAGGGGTGACCTTCTCATCCTCTACAAGTACCTGAAAGGAGGTTGTAGTGAGGTGGGGGTTGATCTCTTCTCCAGAATAACTACAGATAGAACAAGAGGATATGGCCTCAAGTTGCACGAGGGAAGGTTCAGGTTAGACATTAGGAAGACTTTATACAGCAAAAGAATAGTCAAGCATTGGAACAGGCTGCTACATTGGAACAGGGAAGTGATGGGAGTCACCGTCTCTGGCAATGTTCAAGAAACTGAGACACTTAGGGGCTTGGTTTAGCAGGAATGGTGTTGAAGAGCTTATGCCTGGACTTGATGATCTTGAAGGCCTTTTCCTTGAAGGCCTAATGATTCTATGATTCCAGGCTAGATTAGAAGGAGTAAAGTCATAAAAATGACCTTTTCTTTTGTCCAGAAAATGTGAGGGGCTTGATGGAGCATGAGTGTGAACAGGGTTGCTTGTTCAATATCTTTGTTTGGTTTGTGGGTTCTTTTTATCTTTCTGGAGAATGCTCTCTACATGTGCCCAGGCTCTGTAGGTGGGTAGGACTATAGTCTTGAGTGGAGTACATTGCAGATAGATAACAGTGGCTGCCTATTAAGATTAACCTCTTAGGCATGACTATGAAGAACAGGACAGGAACGTTTGGAGAAAGATTTCTTACCTGATAAATAAAGGTATRTTACAAATAGCAAAAAGAGGAGGACACAGAGTGTTTGGATTCTTCTTTTCCAAGTCCAGAAAGTCATCAAGCCTGGTGTGCTGCAGTGGGCACAACAATGAAAATTGACACAAAAAAAGTGCTCCGATAGTGCGGGTATCTCATTTCTCCTCTCTTTCCATTAATTACTGTTTTTCACATCATCCCTTGTCATGTTAAAGGAAAATCTGTACCCAGCTCTACACAATTGCATATCAAAGGAAGTTTCCCTTATTTCATTCTCTGTATATACCCTTGGGGCTTGGAATAACGATGGAGAATAAAGCTCCTGTTAATAGCTCTATTCTAACTACTGTTCTTAAATGTGCAATCTCACAAATGCAACTSTGAGGGCAATGATGTGGGGGCGTGCTGGTACAGAGCAACAGGGTGGCCTGGGCAGGTCTATCTCCTGTCTCCATTGGTTGTCCTTACCCCAGCACAGATGCCCAGGGCACTTTGCAGGCAGCTGCATCCAGACAACAGCTCACCTAACCAAGACCACTTTCTTCTC